TGGGACCCCCCCTGCCCCACGCCGCCAGAGCCCCTCGCTGCGTCCCCTTCCCACACTGTGGCAAACATTATTCAATTCTTATAAATCTCTGTGTTTTGCAGAGATTCAGGGACCTCGGCAGCCCCATCCCGGAGGCCCCAAAGCGCTGGGAGTGCAAGGGGCACGCACGGGGGGGTGCACCAAGAGGTATTTTCGCTCCTGGAGGTATTTTCTACCCTTAATTGCCGCCTCTGGGCTGCAGAAAAAAAAAAAAAAATGCCAGTCTGCCAAAGAAAACAAAATATCATTCCTGTTTTCAAAATCCAGACAAGCAAGGGAAAAGCCACACAGACTCTTCCCCATGTCTGTAAATACCATCTCTAAATACCAGCTCCCTCGCTCCTGTTGAAGACTCGGGGGGGCTGCCAGGGTGTGGGGTCACCATGAGGAAACCCAGGAGCTTCTTGGTCCGGGGCTGGATGCTGGCAGCCCCCCACCAGCAAGGTGCCACGGGACCTCCAGAGCCACCACCAGCCCCGAGAAAAGGACCCCAAAGCCTTTTGGTGCATGGTGTAGAGACCCCCGTAACACAGCACCCACCCCGAGGTGCCCCGTAGGGTCTGGCTGGGTGGTCCCCCTGCCCCCCACCTGGCTCCTGTGGCTCCTTCGGTGACAACAGCCCAGCATGGGCACCCCCGGGGCCACCACCCAGACAAGCAAAGGAGCACTGGGGGCTCCCTCCCTGTGCCCCATCCTTGACCACACTGGGGAGCACTGGGGAGCTGGATGCCCCCTCCTGTGCCTTACCCTGGGCCAGAATGGGGAGCACTGGGGATCTGGGTCTCCCCACCCCCCATACCCCATCCCGTGCTGGAGCAGGGAGCACTGGGGACACAGGTGTCCCCCTCCCATGCCCCAACCCGTGTCAAAGCGGGGAGCATCAGGGACTTGGGTGTCCCCATCCCATATTCCATCCCAGCCTGGAGTGGGGAGCACCAGGGATCCAGCCCCCCAACTCTTGTGCCCTGTCCCAAGCCAGAGCAGGGAGCACCAGGGATCACCAGGGACCCCCGTCCCCCATCCCGAGCGGGAGCGGGGAGCACTGGGAAGCACTGGGGAGCACTAGGGACCTGGGGCTCCCCCCAACACTCCGTATCCCATCCCGAGCCAGAGCGGGGAGCACCAAGGATCACAGGGAATTCAGGTCCCTTTCCAGTGCCCCATCCCGGGCCGGAGCAGGGAGCACCGGGGACCACCAAGGACATGGGTCTCCCCGTACCCCATCCCAAGCTGGAGGGGGGATCACTGGGCACCTGAGTCTCCCCCCTCCCATGCCCCATCCCGGGCCGGAACGGGGAGCACTGGGCACCCCAGTTCCCCCTCGCCCCTGGTGCCCTACCCCCGGCTGGAGCGGGAAGCACCGGGGAGCACTGGGGACCCACATGTGTCCCGTC